TTATTACTTTGGTGTTTAGTGGAGTTTAAATTTTTGATGCTTTAATAGACTGAGGATTTTGTTTTCCACAACTCATACTTTATCAAAAAAAACCATTGACTACTCAAATCTTTTTTATTTTTTATTTTGCATTTCGTATGGGTTTTACTTTCATAGTATAGTACATCTTTTCCTTCAATATCCTTAAAACCTGGCTATGGTATGTACTAAGGTTGTTATGATTTTCTAGAAAAACATAATCAATAGTGATGTCCCAAATGGTTCGCCGACGGGTCGCCGCGGATGGCGAACATACGTGCTGTTCGGTCTGCCCCCTATGTCATCATTGAGTAAACTTTGACCCTGTACCTCACAGTCAGCAGACCCATTCCAGCCAATCAGCAGTAGACCCTCCCTCCCAGACCCTCCTACCTCCTGGACAGCATCCATTTTACATTCATTGTGAAGCTGCATTCTTAGTGAGCTGTCCAGGAGGTGGGAGGGTCTGGGAGGGAGGGTCTGCTGCTGATTGGCTGGAATGTGTCTGCTGACTGTGAGGTACAGGGTCAAAGTTTACTCAATGATGACGAATAGGGGGCAGACGAACAGCGCATATGTTCGCCATCCGTGGCGAACCGTTCGGCGAACCATTCGGGACATCACTAATAATCAATGTTGTGACAAAGTAATCAATCCAATCATAACAAAAACAACACATAATGAAAAAATTGAAGAAAAAAGTGCCTTTAACTCAAAAATTTTAAGAGTAAAAACTGCAAAGTATACATTTATTATTTTTTTATTATTTATTTTATTTTTATTAGTTTTATAAATGACATATCCATTGCATGCTCACAAATATAAAAACGTCAGAACTGACTACTCAAATCATATGCTGATGAGAATATTACATAGATTCGAGGTTACTCATTAAACCCTCAACCGTCTGGAATTATGTACTATTGTTGTTTTATATTGAATAGGCTATATTTTTTAAATAGGGAAAAGAAAACCATAACATTGGAGTACCATCATATACTTTCTTATTTGCAATCCTTGTGTCATCAGGAAGATGCTTTTGAAAAATCCTGATGAGCACGGTTTAAGGTGCTATGTACTAATGAGATCAGAACTATCCATTTTCATTATATATAAAACATGTCAGCATAAAAAAGGCGTGCGTCATAGCAGCTCCGTAAGAATGTCAACTTAAATATAGGGTTGTGACATTATTGTTTTATTTGGAATGACAGGAGTCATTATATCTCAAGGTACGCTGCTGAACCCAGTTAATTTAGGGGTACATAGGGTACCTCTGCAACCCCACACCTTTTGAGCACAACACGTTATCACAAATTAATGTTATATATACAGAACCATAAGAAACTATATCCTATATTAATTTCCTATTTAAAATATATCTATTTCCTTTATTGAGAAGAGACACATTTATAGTTAAGAAATTAATATAGGATATATTTTTTAAATATGTAATGACATGGAATGCATATTGTAGTTTTATTAAAATTGCCTTTTTAATATTAATTAATTTGTGATAAACCATTGGAATTTATGGGTATGGGTATTAATTAATATAGGATTTATATTTTAGTCTTGTTAAAATTGCATATATAGCTTTAAATTGTGATAAAGTATTTGTGTTCATGGATGTAAGGTTGAAGATATTGCTACTTACTGATATAAGGTATTTATGTGCATAAGGCTAAAAGGTAGTTTAAATAGGAGACATTAGTGTGTAATTACACTATAGGGGCTCCGACTTGGAATTGCACCCAGTACATGTAATTTTTGTCTGTACTGAGTTACAGAAAATATGCAAAGAACAGTTATTGCTTATTTTAATGTCTGTATCATAGAAACATAGAATGTAAGGGCAGATAAGAACCATTCGGCCCATCTAGTCTGCCCAATTTTCTAAATACTTTCATTAGTCCCTGGCCTTATCTTATAGTTAGGATAGCCGTATGCCTATCCCACGCATGCTTAAACTCCTTTACTGTGTTAACCTCTACCACTTCAGATGGAAGGCTATTCCATGCATCCACTGCCCTCTCTGTAAAGTAATACTATCTGATATTATTTTTAAACCTTTGCTGCTCTAATTTAAGACTATGTCCTCTTGTTGTGGTAGTTTTTCTTCTTTTAAATATAGTCTCCTCCTTTACTGTGTTGATTCCCTTTATGTATTTAAATGTTTCTATCATATCCCCCCTGTCTCGTCTTTCCTCCAAGCTATACATGTTAAGATCCTTTAACCTTTCCTTGTAAGATTTATCCTGCAATCCATGAACCAGTTTAGTACCCCTTCTCTGAGTTCAACAGAGCTTCACAGGTTGCCACTGGAGTCCTCTTCCACTCCTCCATGACAACAACATGGTGCTGGTGGATGTTAGAGACCTTATGCTCCCCCACCTTCCATTTGAGGATTCCCCACAGATGCTCAATAGGGTTTAGGTCTGGAGATATGCTTGGCCAGTCCATCACCTTTACCTTCAGCTTCTTTAGCAAGGCAGTGGTCGTCTTGGAGGTGTGTTTGGGGTCGTTATCATGTTGGAATACTGCCCTGTGGCCCAGTCTCCGAAGGGAGGGGATCATGCTCTGCTTCACTATGTCACAGTACATGGTGGCATTCATGGTTCCCTCAATGAACTGTAGCTCCCCAGTTCCGGCAGCACTCATGCAGGCCCAGACCATGACACTCCCACCACAATGCTTGACTGTAGGCAAGAAACACTTGTCTTTGTACTCCTCACCCGGTTGCAGCCACACACGCTTGACACCATCTGAACCAAATAAGTTTATCTTGGTCTCATCGGACCACAGAACATGGTTCCAGTAATCCATGTCCTTAGTCTGCTTGTCTTCAGCAAACTGTTTGCATCATCTTTAGAAGAGGCTTCCAGCATACCAATTTGATGCAGTATGCAACATATGTTCTGAGCACTGACAGGCTGACCCCTCACCCTTTCAACCTCTGCAACAAACCTGGCAGCATTCATTCGTCTATTTCCCAAAGACAACCTCTGGATATAAGGCTGAGCACTCAACTTCTTTGGTCGACCAGGGCGAGGCCTGTTCTGAGTGGAACCTGTCCTGTGAAACCGCTGTATGGTTTTGCCCACCGCACTGCAGCTCAGTTTCAGGGTCCTGGAAATCTTCTTATAGCCTAGGCCATCTTTATGTAAAGAAACAATTATTTTTGTTCAGGTCCCCAGAGAGTTCTTTGCCATGAGATGCCATGTTGAACTTCCAGTGACCAGTATGAGAGAGTGTGAGAGTGATAACACCAAATTTAACACACCTGCTCCCCATTCACACCTGAGACCTTGTAACACTAACAAGTCACATGACACTGGGGAGCGAAAATGGCTAATTGGGACCAATTTGGACATTTCCACTTAGGGGTGTACTCACTTTTGTTGCCGCTGGTTTAGACATTAATGGCTGTGTGTTGAGTTATTTTGAGGTACAGCAAATTTACACTGTTATACAGGCTGTACACTTACTACTTTACATTGTAGCTGAGTGTCATTTCTTTAGTGTTGTCACATGAAAAGATTTAATAAAATATTTTGTGAGATTCTGTATGTACCTTTGGATACTCCTCCCATTTACCATTTATTCATGTTACCATGAGGGGTCTTTGCAAACTAAACTATGGACATTTGAAAATGATAACAGTGGTGCAATCTGCTTTTACAGTGATCCAAGTGCAATCCCTGTCTTTTCTCACAAATTTTCATTCTTGATGCCATGCAGGCATGAACAGTAATGCCTCGTCTTGAATGAATCCGTTTCACGGCTCCAATTTTCTTTTAATTTTAATGTCTTATAAAATGATTTATTTTGGTCCAGACCTTGTTTGAATTCTCCAAGTTTATCTTTTTTTGCTATTCATGTCGCTCGATGTCTCCAATTTAGAAGCAGTTTTTCACATTCAGTCCTGCTGGTCTGCATTCTTTTGACTAATGAAAGCTTTCGCCAGGACTGGCTAAAAAAGATAAACTTGGAGTTTGTATTCAGAGCTTCTAATTTTAGATTCTTTCTATAAAATGCACATTTATTCATGTGGGAATTCCATTCCTGTACACAACATCACAAGACCATATTACATTGTTTTAAAGGAACACTTCAAGCACAATAATCACTACAACGCACTGTAGTAGTTACGGTGACAGGCAGGGACGGATCCAGAACCTAATCTTGGGAGGGGGTGGTTAGAAGTAGGGGAGCTTAGTTCAGGCAGAGAACTAACAGCTGTCAGAGAGGCAGTGACCAACGTTTAGCAGGTCCGCGCTAAGAAGTCAATCTGTTGGCAAATGGCTTGATTTCTTAAATTGTGGTGCTCTAGGGAACTTGTGGCATATCATTGTTATTTGCTTGGAGTGTTCCTTTATACGTTGTCTGCTTCATGACTACTATTATTTATCAGCCACTTACATGAATCCAGCGCCGATATCCCTTAGCGCTGGGTCAGGCTCCGCCCACGCTCCTCCCCTGCAGACATCAGCTGGCGGTGGAGACCTCATACGCATGCGCGGCAAAGGCCACGCACGCATTAGACCTCCCCATAGAAAAGCATTATTCAATGCTTTCCAACAGGGAAAATCTGATGGCATCAGATAAAGGACCAAAAGTCAGTTTAGATTCCAGAAGCGCCCCCAGTGGGTGTCTGGTAGACAGCCACAGAGGGCAGACGTAGAGCTGCAATGTAAACATTACAGTTTCTCTGGAACTGCAATGTTTTACATTGCAGCACTAAGTGCAAAAGGGTCACAGCACCCAGACCACTTCAATTAGCTGAAGTAGTCTGGGTGCCTACAGTTTCCCTTCAAGTACCTGATTTAGTTATTTTAATAATACAATTATTTATTAATATTTGATTAATACTATGATTTAATTGATTTTGTATAATTCCTGTATGGCGTATTGTATTCCTTATATATATATATATATATATATTTTTTTTTTTTTTGTCAATCTCTTTTTTTTATTGAGGCAGAAAATCATGAGGGTACAGAATGAGAGAGGGGAGACGATAAGGTTTCATACAAGACGGGTAATACAATGCAGTTTATATCATCTCTGAGTATTTGTTAGCCTCTCTTTATATTAGGAAGAGTAAAGGACTGCCTGTGACTATTAAGGTAACAAAAACATATTATAAACAGATGCAATGCCTGTCTAGATAGATTCTGAAGAAAACAATACTATGCTATGTTAGGTCTTAGACACGTATTAGGTAAGTAGTTTGTGGATCAGGCTGAAGTAGTCACGAAGCTAACAACATATAGTAATAGTAATAAACTTGCTAACCATGCTTGTCCCGTTAAATGTCTCTGCAATATGTTGGCTGTTATACATTACTAGCTAAAGACTTAATAGAATTCGCATCAACAAGGCTAATACTAGCAATGCCCGCTTATCAGCTAAATTATGAGGCTAGCGTACAGGCTATAAAGAATAAGCTAAAACGAAATATGCTGGGCTATCAAAGTTGCTTAGCAGGTGGCACTATGTAGGCAAGATTACGTGGCAGGCGAGGTATGCTTAGTAGTACAACATACAAGTTCTGAGAGTCACCAGTCTGTCGTATCGTTGCAGGGTAAAGGCAGATAACGGTTTGCTGTGCAGTCTTACTCGTGGGTAGTCTCATGGGCAGTCCAATTGGAGTTCCAGGTGAGTGTTGAAGCTCACTGCCGGGGGCATCTGTGGACCGTGATATCCCCCACCAGTCCTGGGGGGGGGGGTCGGAGTGTAGCTTGCCTGCGTGTGGGCTGGAACGCCGGGAGATCGGCCGCCTCTCCCCGTCCAGATCCCAGTAGGCCGCAACAGGACTGTCGAGCTGTCGTTGAAGGTAATGCTCAGGAAGAGTACGTTAGTGTGTGCCCGGAGTCCCCCGTGTATATGTGCTTCCAAGCTCCAGCAAGCAAGCCCCAAATTTAGGCTGAAAAGTTTGTTTTTAGTCGATTAATGCTGGAGCTCAGGCTGCATGCATCTGCTCTGCTTGGCAGTCAGGCCCTGCCCCCCTCCTTATATATTATATCATTTTGGCTTGCACAATAGACTTTTGAAAATGAAAACATATTATATGTCAATATTAATCATTTTTAAAAAAAAGGTTTAACCTCTCAGTGAAATGGCAAATTTTTAAATGTTCAACAAAGCAGTGATTTTGATACATAATAAAATGACAATGTTGATTGGATAGAAACATTTTTTTTTGATTTCTCAAGGCATTTCCTTTCTTTTGCTTCCCAGACTTAAAGCTTTGAACACGAGTACCTGTGCCCATTTATATATGATGTGCCTATTAAAAGATGCTCTTTCATATACCTCCATATTTCATTTGAGGTGTGACTTTTTTAAATTGGCAAATTATAAGAGCTCGATCGTTTGAAACATGCTGTTTGATACAGAGACAGAGGACTAGTTTGATGTGCTGAGCATATAAAACTATCTTTAGCCTCCACTAATCATCCATTATAATTCACTTAAGTTTGTTGACCTCTCACTTCTACTCTAATTAATCACTTCTTGTTACAATATCCCCCTGTGGGCATATGACCCTTGATTATTGACTGACCTTGTTTTTGTTCGAGCCATTCAAATTTTATATGTTAATTTCTTTTTCTGCCAATGTAGACATTGCATTATCATACTTACTCAACACAGATTAAACAGAAGTTCTTTTAACATTCACACAATTTATGAGCCAGTGACAAGAAATGTATCACCCTTCTTAGTTTTCAATGGTTGCTTTCCTGGTGAAGTAGGTGGACTGCTTATTGAACAGATTTCTTTGAGTATGGCTAAAGGAAGAAATGAAAAGAATAGTAAAGGATTAACTCCCACCCATTCTTCCTTTAATGGAACCTTCACCTAGTCTGTCTCTACTTGGTCTTCACAAGTCATGAATCTCAAAGGATCCTGTGATATTTTCAATGGTGGATGCTAACAAAGTAGAAGGAGAAGGTCCCTCCTGTTGACCTCCAATGCTCACTTACTGGATAATTTCTCTGGACATGGAAATCCAGACTATTTTGCCAATAGAGCTTTGGCTGAGTGGAGCTAAAGATTGGAATGGAAAGTTTGTATACATTTGTTTCTTCCTGTGTCTCCCTATTCTCTCCATAGCTGTATATCTCTCCCTGTCCCACACTTATGCTTCTAGCAACCCATAATTTTTTCAACATATTTCCACCACCCAATTTTTCCACTCCTACCAGTCTCCCTTCACCCCTTGTCTCTCTCTCTATATATATTTCCCACTCCTACCAATCTCCTTTTTCCATGTATTGTCTCTTTACTCATTTCTATGTGCTTATTGTATCTCTTCTAAATTCCCCTTGTGTCTTTTTGCCCCATTATCCCTCTTTCTAGGCTGGGTGTGTTTTTGGCTGTTTAGTCCATTATTTCATTAGCTGGGTGGGTGGATATGATGCTACTGCTGTTGAGATACTCACCAAACACTGTCTCCTCAATGAGTGTCTATCAGGAGCAAAGAGCTCTGTGTAGATAGAGACCCAGGAACATGATAGAACATGTATTCCCACATTAATATCTCACTGGACTGCCTCCACCTGTGCCGACACTTAATGAAAGGACCATCTGCCGAGCCAAAGAGTTTCAGGACTAAAGAACACTTTTGTTCTGGTACCACAAACATACTGACCCTTTAATACACATATATCCCTACCAATGTATTTAAATCGCATTTAAGGTTCAGTAAAAAGTTATAATGAAATTTTCTTTTTGTCACAGGAAAAAATGTTTAATGATTTGTAGTAACATGCCAAACAATATGTATGGAATAGACATCTAATTCTACCCTAAATATATCCCAAGCACAACATATGAAAGTATGTACAATAATTATCCCAATTCTGTGTAGACACTGTCATTGAACAGGCATATCTGACAATGTAACATAGAAAACATGACAGTGTAATCTACCAATGTCATTGAGGTTTTGTAGTCTGCCCGAGACAAAAGAAAATCTGGATGATAGGTAATTATTTATTTGCAGAAAAACATCTAAAAATTTTTAGATTTTGTTAGGGAAATGTCTACAATTTTCCAAAGGCTTTTTAAAATGTTCAATCAAAAAGCATAAGTTAATGGTTAAATATTATAGAAAATGTATTTTACTATTTCAACTTAAAAAGTAATTAGGAATTGATATTTCCTGTTTCATACCATACTTCCAAGCCATGCATTGATCAAAGGGCATCAGTCTTATACATCTGAGTACTTTGATCCAGGTAAATTTATAAACATTACTGAGTTTACCAAGGTCAGTCATTAAAGAAACACTTCATTGGTAATAAGTTGTTATGGTGCCATGAGGTCCCTGGCACTGCTTTCCTTCAAGGGTTAAACTGTTAACAGACGGTACAATTTTTCTCATACTGTTTTGCAAATGGGGAGTTATTGATCAACTATGTGTCAGGATTACTAGTTGATCCAGCACGCAGAATATATCACACCTAGGACTAAGGATAACGTTTCACTGGACCTTAGAATGGCCGGACTTAACGTATCCAAGAAAATTCAGAATACTTGCCAAGGTCAGGGATACAAAAGGAGACACAACGATGAGGGAAAACGAAAAGTCAAGGATACCAGAAGTCAGGAAAGTCAAAACGAAGCCGAAGCCAAAGTCAAAAACCAGAATAATATGATCAGGAACACACTCTCGGATAACCAGCAAAGGGAAACCACAACAGGGCAATGAGTAAAAGGAAAAATGAGTTTAAATAACCCTCCTGCAGATCCGATTGGCCATAACCAGCCTTTGACCCCAAAACGTGCGTGCTCGTCTTTTGCGTGACGTCACGTGCACGTCAACGCTGTCATTACCGTGGGTGGATGTGGGGCTACAATATGGCATGGATCCGCAGCGGCCGGCCTACACCGCCATGCTGCAGAAGTCAGGCACACTGGCGCAGGACAGCTGAGCAGCACCTCCATTATTGCCTGGAAGGCAATTTCCTCCGCAAATACCATAAGGTGAGGATGAATACGTTACACTATGCACTCTGCCGCGTCCTTGTCCGAGGATTCCTATTTGAAGCTTTGGGGGCAAAAAGCTGGCTAGACTCAAGACATTGGGGTTAACCTGTTCTTTAACATTTTAACCCTTGTAGATAAGACAGCACCAGGAACCTCCTGGCACCAAAACAACTTAATTCTTCAACAACTAATTGAAGCTGTGTTGGTGCATAGAGAGTTTCTTTAAAAATGATCATAGATAGTGAGATTAGTGCAAAAAGACATATCAGACACTCAGGGCCAGATTAAGAGCCCAGTGGGCCTGGTGCTGACAATTATGACGGGCCTAATTACAGAATCATATCGACCAAAAACAGTAAAACACTCCCAAGCGTCATGTATCTGATGGAGATGGTGCTGGAGAGAAAGAAAACAGCAGCTATAAGAAAACACATACCCTAGGCTAATCTCTCTCTAATTTATGTTTTCATCTTTCAAGTAAATACATAACCCCTAACAGCAGTGTCCAGTCAAGCAGGAAGTCAATGGGCACGGTAAAAGGGTGTGCCACATAACCTGCCAAAAGGGGCGAACATGCCCAAAAAGAGGACATGTCTGCTCAAAGAATTAGAAGGCCAGCCTGGCATGAATGCATGTCAGGCTGCCTGCCAATCATGCAGCTGGCCAACTAAGGGCATACTATGCAGACAGCACCCTGAGCTTGGCATAAATGCATCTAATGATGCGCTCACTCAACGCTTTCTAAGGACTGTCCCCTAGCACTCGCTGGCCACTTGTCTCCTTACCTTCTTACTGGCAGGCAGAAACTCCTGGTATATGGTCTGGGACAGAGAAAAGCTGTATGTAGTGAGTGTAGAAGAAAGGGAACATGCCACAGTGTTAGAGAGATAAAAAGTCAGCATTACCTTAAAGGATCACTATAGGGTCAGGAACACAAACATTAATTCATGACCTTATAGTGTTAACACCACCATCTGGCCCCCCATATAGCAAAATCCTACTATATTCAAGCCTGAAGCTGTAACTCTGCATGCTGTTAGACTCATAAAAACAAGCAGTCTGCTGACATCATTAGAAGTGGTGGCCTGATCCAATCACAGTGCTTCCCCATAGGATTGGCTCAGACTGACAAAGAGGCAGATCGGGGTCAGAGCCAGCATGATTCAAACACAGCCCTGGCCAATCAGCATCTCCTTATATAGATGAATTTAATTAATGAATCTCTATGAGGAAATTTCAGTGTCTGCATGCAGAGGGAGGAGACACTGAATGTTTGGATTCATTTTAGGCAGCCATGACCCAGGAAGGATCTCTAACAGTCATCTAAGGAGTGGCCAGTGAAGTTATCACTAGGATGTAATGTAAACACAGCATTTTCTCTGAAAAGACCGTGCTTACAGCAAAAAGCCTGATGGTAATGATTCTACTCACCAGAACAAATTCAATAAGCTGTAGTTGTTCTGGTGACTATAGTGTCCCTTTAACTATATTCATTGTCAGCCAGTCCACACACGTTTTGTTCCCATACATCCCTCTTAAGTTTCCATACTTAAGTAAGAGTATGTGAAAAGTAGTTAGGGTTGCCACTTTTTTTGGAAAAACATACCGGCCTTACTAATTTGCATAATTAAATATATGTGGGTGACATCACATGATGTAAATCACAAGGAGTGACATAAGAGAAAATGCTGTAAAATCACCAAAAAACTACTTAGTTTAAATCTGCTGTATAGATGGATTCCTCCCAGTGCCCCCATGTCTCCCAGTGCCCTCATGAGTGAGTGCCCCCATGTGTCGATTACTCCAGGTCTCAGTGTTCCTATGTATCAGTATCTCAGTGCCCCATGTCTCCCAGTGTCCCCTAGTGTTGTGTCCCCAGGTCTCCCAGTGATCCTATGTATCAGTGTCTCAATGCCCCATGTCTCCCTGTGTCCCCATGTATCCCAGGGTCCCCATGTCACTAGGACACTAGGTAGACGGGGAGACCTGGGGACACAGGGAGACCTAGGGACACGGAGACACCAGTGACACTGGGAGACTAGGGGACAATGAAAGTATTTAGAAAACTGGGCAGACTAGATGGGCCGAATGGTTCTTATCTGCCGTCACATTCTATGTTTCTATGTTAATGGGAAAATAGGGGACACGTGAAGACATGGGGACACAGACACCAGGGACAAAGATACTAGAGACACTGGCTGGGGGACATGGGGACATTGAGACATGGGGGCACTGGGAGACATGGGGACACTGAGACACCAGGGCCACAGACACTAGGGACACTAGCTTGAGGACATTGTGACACTTGACACACTGAGAGACATGGAGGCACTAGGAGACATGGGGACAGTGAGACACTGGCAGACTGGGGGCACTGGGAGACTAGGGGGCACTGAGACACCAGGGACACTGTCTGGGAGACATGGGGACACTGTGTTCCCATGTGTCTGTGCCATAATGTCTCCCAATGTCCCTTAGTGTCTCAGTATCTGCCATAATGTCTCCCAATGTCCCTTTGTGTCTCAGTGTCTGCCATAATGTCTCCCATTGTCCCTTAGTGTCTCAGTGTCTGCCATAATGTCTCCCAGTGCCCCTTAGTGTCTCAGTGTCTGCCATAATGTCTCCCAATGTCCCATAGTGTCTCAGTGTCTGCCATAATGTCTCCCAGTGTCCCTTAGTGTCCCAGTGTATGTCTCCTTGCAGCCTGTCCCCCCATCCCTTACTTCCCTGAGCTGTAGGCTGTCTCTGCAGTGTGGGAGTTGCTGTCTGGACTCACTGTAGCTGCACCCCTGCAGATCAGTGAGTATAGATAGGCAGGGAGGGATATGCTGGAACTTCCTATCCCTGCCTGTCTCCACACACAGTGACCTCTACTGGCCAGTGCTGGTATTGCAGAGTAATCTCTTGTTTATACTGAGAAAAATACCAGCATTTGTATTGCCAGTATCACTGCAATATTGGCACCAGCCAGGCAGCCTCAAATACTGGCTGTGTCAATAAAATAAAAGCCAGGTGGAATCCCAAAGAGTAGTATGTGAAAAAAAACATTTTTTTAAATCAATGGGCCTGGGCCTGGGCCTGGAGCTGCAGCTCCATCAGCCCCTATGTTAATCCGGCCCTGCAGACACTAGTCATTCCCATAAACCTATACTAATAAACATTTACTAATGTAAAGTTAGAGTGATTACCTCTTGAAAAAGTGAACTATGTTTTAATATAAGATGATTTACTGTTGCATAGTTACAAATTTCACATATCCGTTACTAACAAAATTCTGCATGCATTTTTTTTCTTATTTATAAGAAACAAACTAATGGATTGTATAAATAACAATTCCTGTTTATATAGCATTTCATTAGAACAAGAAGGCCTTCTTTGAAGATTCAAATATTACTTTACAGACATGTTGGTGAAGGTATCTGAAATAGCCTTAGACACAGTAAATGCTAATGCAAGGGAAATCAACTCAGCCTGGTTTATTCTCAAGGTTATGCTGAGGAATAAAGAAGAAAAAACCATAATGGGAAAATGGCATATGCCAGTTGCTTCTTATCTCTTCTTTTTGAGCCTCGTCTTACACATGGAATCTTTTATATTGCATTTTGGAACATAAGGCTCTCTTATCTCTTAGGTGCAAGTTTCCACCAAGGCAGAGAACAAAAACTGTGCATCTTCTGGCTTGATAGCACCAGTTACTTGAGTTGAATGCTTGAAAATAATTAAAATGGTTTCCTGTAACCTTTTGTTTGTCTGTTTTCCTCTCCGGGTAAATACTTTTTCTATGTGCTTAAAAAGAACGTAAAGATAGATAGAGGAATAGGGTTGGAGACTAATGGAAGGAAATGGCTTTGCAGGATGTCCTCTAGTGCCGATCTAAGGTTAAGGACTGAAACTGTTTTTTAAATATTTCACATTTACTTGTTTCCTCGAGCTCCTCCAGTCCAATCTACTTTTACGGTTCGACTAATCTGGAATTTCCAAACTCCCCATTATTTGAAGTAGACACCTCACTTGAGTATTTTTTTTTGTAAAGGTAGTCACCTAGAAATGTCATCAGAATTTTTCAATCCTTGAGAAACCGTAATGGCTAAAAACCAGAAAGTTGCTGATCTGCTGAGAAATCAGAAGTTCGGCATGTTGGTTTGGTTTGCATATTGAAAATGCTTAGTTCCATCTGTGCCATAATCAAGTGCAGGTCAGCTATGTTCTACACATTGTTATTTCATTAAAAACCCTAAGCATATTTACAAATCATCTACACATGTTGTGTCCGAGTTACTTTTTAACAGATTAATAATGTATAATTAAAAAGAGAGAGTTTAGGCGCTCCCTAAAAAAACAAAAAGTGTATAAGGCAGCAGTGAACCAGCAGGACTTCCCAATGCCTGCTATATGGTGAACAGAAATGTGAAAATAGGAAAAGTGGTAAACCGCGCCAAAAAATTTCAATTGATCATATCATACATACATATAGGGAAAAAGAATCAAAATAGGATCAGCGCTAATAATACCACAAATAAAAATATGTAGAGTAGTATAAAGGCGGCACGCCTAAAGGGGGAAATACCCTCCTATCCCCTACAATAAATTAAAACATAAAAAAACAGAGAGAAAGGGTGCGCCTTTAATACAGTATGTATCAGAAAGAATACACACAATAATATGTAGTTAAAAAAGAAGTAAAAAATTATGTAAAAAATTAAATTAAAAGTCCAAAATAATAGTCCACAACAAATGGAGAAGATTCTTGTAGATCAATAATGGTTCTTCCCAAATGAAGACTTGTATTCTCAATAAGCCATTTGTGGAGAGAAATGGAGAGGAGATCCAATAGTGCAGTATGCCAATATATATATAAATATATATGTAAAATAATTTAGTGTACTCACAATTTCCAGAGCTAAAATCCAGCTCTGGTATGAAGTGCGTAAAGTGGAATGATCCCCACTCAAGGATATATGGAGTAGTAGTTCCCCAGGAGTTCCAACCGAAAAAAAAAAGAATAAAATATATAGTGCTCACTGAATAACTGGAATATAGATAAAAGAAAATATGAAATGTACTCACAATGTACTGAGCAGACTTCACTGCTCAAATAATAGCGTATGGGTGGTATAATCCCCACCTAGGGATTCTTTGGCATTCCTTAAGATAGTATAAATCCAAATAGTCCGGTTTAAAGGCGTTAAAAAATAAAATGAAATAAAAGTAGGAATGTGGCTACAACAAATATATTTTGAGGCCAAAATTCCTTTATTACAATAGTATAAAATAAATGAAATAAGATTCTAGACGCGTTTCGCCACAATAGGCTTCTTCAAGTAGAATATAATACAATTTATTTTATTAACTTGCTCTGGTGATGATAGCTTGGTATGGTATGATCCCCACCAAAGGATATATGGATGTATCAGGAAACCAGCAGCACCAGAAAGCCAGAGGATTGGATAACAAAAGCTTCACTTTATTTCACAAAAAATATATTAAAAAATATATTAAAACATATAAGATAGCTTCCAGTCCTTCCCTTGACGCGTTTCGCCCGGGTTTGGGCTTTATCAAAAGTGTCACACATCCATATATCCTTTGGTGGGGATCATACCACCACAAGCTATCATCACCAGAGCAAGTTATTGCTCTGGATACTGTAAGTAGGATACCTACATTTTCTTTTCCAACTTTTGGTTTTTGATACTGTACCATTGGTTTGTGTATTCTGTTTTTTTTTCTCTCCCATATATATGGTTGCTGAGTTTTGGACACCCTAACATCTACAGATCCTAAGACGGGGATTGTACCGTCCAGACGCTATACAGCAGAGCTCTTAGCAGCTCTGCAAAGTGTGAGTTTGCCTTTTATCTACAATTAAGTCTGTTTAAGATCACACCATTCAAAATTTAAACATATTGCACTATTATTTTATTATTCTTATCTCTTTTTGAGTTTTTTTACATGCTGTACTACCCGAGATCTATATGTATGTATGTATGAATGAAATTTTTGTGGCGCGGTTTACCACTTTTCCTATTTTCACAATAATGTATAATGCATCTTTGGGAATGAGGCTATACAGATGAATTAATTTGATGTACAAAGCAATCCTGTCAACTATTTTAAGAGAATGGAATCAATAAACACTATAGAACAGACTAATAGGAAGTGACTCACTGTTCAATAAACTCAATTTGAACTTTGTGCGCCTGTTAACACCAGCACACCATTTTCTTGATTCTGATTGTGTTCTCCAAGATTTCAGGCACTGCAGAAGTCAGGAAAGAAGTATTTGGCGCAGCTTGGTATATCAGTTCTATAGCTGATTTGCTGCTGGAATAAATCAAAGTTCATGTAAAGGTGAAAAGTAATATGTTTGTAGTTAAAAGGAAAGCGGACAGTCTCTGTAGGGAAAAGCAAAGTCTACAATTCGCATTTGTGACTTTTTAAGAGTAAAAAAGGAAAAGATATTTAACCCAAGAGCTGGATAAAATACAGGTGGATTGGAGCTATGTGATAAAGGTAATTGCAACAACCCCCAGTGTCTAAAAATCACTCCACAGACACTACATAAATGGATACAAATAAACACAATGAGGGGGGTGCAAAATGCACAATAATGTATACTTAGTAATGTGAGACCTCCTGGTCATCTGTAAAAAACAGTATAAAACACAGACATAGCATAATACTGGATAACAATATAATCTGATCAATGGCAGATGCAATGTGTCACTCACACTTTTCTGAGCCTTAAGAAGCAGGCTCTGGCTGTATCAGCGTTCAAATAATATAGCTTATTCAGGGCTATCAACACAACTCCTCAATATCCTTCTTTCCCAATGGGTATGAATGAGGCGATATCCAGAGAGGTAATTTAGAAGTTTTACTTCAATTCAAACAAATACAATAAAATAAAACATCAGATACAAAGGCTGAAAATAAAACAGCAAATAAAATAACACAAATGTGTTTTAACTTATCAGTATTTCTCAAAGTGAATAATGTTCCTCTCCTGCTGCTGGTTTTTAATCTGTGCTGCCAGAAATTAGTTTTCGCTCCTTTCGGCACTCCGTAATTACTTCCGCATTATTTCGTCATTCCGACTTGCGTAGACGTAATGACGTCCAAGACGTCCCGATGTACTGCGTGGTAATTCTGTCATCGGCTACAGCACACCCGGAAGTGGAACTATAATCATTCTGGTAAAACGCAATCTTCATATTGAGCGTTTTTTTTTAAGAGTAGCAGACTAAGAATGACTGTGGCTCCAGGGCAACATTGTCTTAACTCCCCTCCTCCAATATACAGTCCCGTCAGGACAATGTATGTGTTGCCGTATGAAGCTGGGCAGTGTAGAGAGCATTAACATGGTTGTGTTCTGCAGGACAATGCTGCTAATTTAGGTATGTTCTTGTTCAACTGTGATCTACCTCTCACATTACGACACTCTACCAACACATACAATATATTGTTTTCTAAAAGTAGGGATATCTATTTAATTTAGCAAATACAACCTGAGAGTGAAGTATATATATATACTTCCTCTCATCCACTAGCCATTGACAAGTA